ACCAAGAGTAACAGGGCCCGGGGCAGCTGCCCCCTTTGCCCTGCATTAAAGATGGCCATGGTGAAGTCACAAAGAATATTAAGAGTAGCATATGGCATGATAAACTGAACAATCCATTCTAAAACAGTTAAATATGGTAGTTTTTTATTGCTAAATCAGAATACATGTGCATGTATGTCTGCAATCCTTATGTGTGGAATATTGCTTAAATGCATCCATTGATGTAGCTACACTAGTAATGTAATATGACTTTCTGAGACTTTGTAACCAAAAGCAGATGATATCAAAGTAATCTGTAGTTTATTTTTATTTATTTTTTATTTTGTAACTGTAGGACTTTAATATTCTGTATAATGAACAAAAGCCAAATGATAAATTGTGAAAATATAATATATTGTGTGCTGGCAAATTCACATCAATATAAAATTGAATAAAGAAAATTGCTTGAATTAAGATAGCTGGAAAAGAGGGAGAAAACAAATAGAAAGGAAGTAAAAAAAAAAAAAAACATTTTACTTACTATACCTTCCGGCTACTGTTTTAGTGAGAAAATCACCCTGCACAGTAAACCATGTTTTATTCCTTAACACTTTATTGAATTACTTTGGATTCAATTAAGTACTTGAATATTGCATTTTTATTGGTAATTCCTGAACAAAATAGTTGTCAATTAGACATGTTTTGGTTACAGTCTAAGAATTTACAAAGCCTATAAAGTATCAAGACTGCAGGATCTATTTAGCAGACAACCCTGGGAAGTGAAAATTTCGTTTTTTGTGAACGTCAGTATTACCAAGAAAAAATGAGGCTTCACATATCATTTTGTGTGAACGCCATTAGATAGCATATATACAAGAATGGAAATTGCCATGAGAATTTTCTGTTGGTGCTTAAAAACATTAACTTAAAAACACTGGGGGGATTTATCAAAATGCTTTATTTTTGGTTTATAATGTGTTCATATTTGTTAAAATGTTCTACAAATGGTCCAAAAAGTGTCATAATTTCTCTATGGAAATAACATTATTGCATCTTTTGTGATAACCAAACCCTTAGATGGCAAATGCCTTTAACAATTATTGCTAAGCTAAAAAATTACACACGTTCTAAAACTACAAATGTGGATCAGGACCCACTAAATTTACAAAGACCCAAAATAGAGGAGTTACATTTTAGACCTGTACCTATTAGTGTCATTAGGAAACACCGTACAAATCTAAAAATGAAAAACCAGTCTGGACCAGATAAAATCACAGCAATGCTGTTGAAACTCAGTTCGTGGACACTTGCTAACAAATCCTTGGTGTCTGGATATACACCTAAACTTAGTAAGACTGCAAGAGTAGCATTTATACATAACAGTGGTGACATTACTTTGTTTTCTATTGCCCAATAGCATTGCTCCATGTATTGTCAAAAATCTTGGACAAATGTGTCCATACGCAACTTTGTGAGTATTACCAAATAATCAAACTATCTGACCCCTGATCAATCAGGCTTCCTCCCGAATCACTCAACTACAACTGCCCTCTTAAAAGTTTGCAATGACATCCAAACTGGCATGGAACAAAGATCTAACTGGAGCTATTGTCATTGATTTTACAAAAGTGTCGAAGATTGCCTACCCTGGCCCTAGGCTCTGCATAATGAGGCGTTTTTAAGTACCAAGTTTGGTAGTAGGTCTTTTTGTGATACCCCTGCTGTAGCAATTTACTGGTGATTCCTAAAACTCAAAATTATACCAAGAGCTGAAACACACTTATGCATAAGTCATAATATGCATCTACAGTGGTTTCCATTGCTACAGTATAATTTATATTTCAGGAACTTACAAAGAAGACTAAAAGTTGCCAACCTAAAAAATAGTAGTGATAACTGACGAGTATTACTTAAAAAATAAATAACATATTTAATCTCTTTAAATGCAGTAAAAAATAACGTCTGTCAGTGTGTGCATATCTGTATGTTTGTTAGTGTATGTGTGTCTATCTGTATGTCTGTGAGTGAGTGTGTGTGTGTATGCCTGTCAGTGTGTGTGTATCTGTATGTCTGTCAGTGTGTGTATATCAGTATCTCTGTCAGTGTATGTGACAGACATACGTATGCCTTTCAGTGTGTGGGTCTGTGTGTGTGTGTGTGTGTATCTGTATGTCAGTCTGTGTATGTCTGTCAGTGTGTGTCTTTATCCCTTTTCCCACAACCAGAAACCCTCTCAACTTTTAATCCTCTTAACACGAAACAACCTATGTCAACTAACAGTGATGTTAATTCCTCTCTAAACTGACACCCTCTTGACTCATAGAAACATAGAAACATAGAATGTGACGGCAGATAAGAACCATTCGGCCCATCTAGTCTGCCCAATTTTCTAAATACTTTCATTAGTCCCTAGCCTTATCTTATAGTTAGGATAGCCTTATGCCTATCCCACGCATGCTTAAACTCCTTTTACTGTGTTAACCTCTACCACTTCAGCTGGAAGGCTATTCCATGCATCCACTACCCTCTCAGTAAAGTAATACTTCCTGATATTATTTTTAAACCTTTGTCCCTCTAATTTAAGACTATGTCCTCTTGTTGTGGTAGTTTTTCTTCTTTTAAATATAGTCTCCTCCTTTACTGTGTTGATTCCCTTTATATATTCTCTGACCACTTCTAACATTATCTTTAACACCCGGGAGTGCCTTAGAATTTTGTACCTACAGGCACCCAACATGTAAATGCAGCCTTGGATCCATTTGTTAGTTCATCCCTGACAGATCAGTAGAAAACACACAAACAGTCATACATTCTCCAGAGATAAAAAAAAATATTCAGTATTGGCAGGGTTTAGTGTCTTAAAATATGGCTAATTAATGCTGTAGTTTCAACTTGCTAGAACTGCCACAGTCAACTTTAAAGGAACTGTATAGGGTCAGGAACACAAACATGTATTCCTGATCCTATAGTGTTTTATCCACCATTTAGGTGGCTTGCCTCCCCTTAACCCCCTTAGAAAATTGTTGAAACTCACCTTATATCCAGCACCACTCAGGTCTGCCTACACTTCCCATGCCCCCAATCCGCCTCCTTGGTGACATTATTAGAATTTCAGTTTTTTAACCAATCCAATGCTTTCCCATAGGAAAGCTGAAAACGGCAAGGATATGGGATGGGGGCAGGGCCACATGCTGTTTTGGCCAATCAGCACCTGCATCTCTATGAGGAAATTTCAACGTCTCCATGCAGAGTGTGGAGACGCTGAACGGCAGTGCTGTCTACTGTGCAGCACTGCCCCAGGTAGCACCTCCAGTGGCCATCTGAAGAGTGGCCGATTGGAGGTGTCCCTAGGGCAGATTGGAGATGTCCCTAGCAGATTCTCTGAAGACGCAGTGTTTGCATGAAAATGCCTGAAGGCAATGATTATATTCACCAGGACAACTGCATTAAGCTGTGGCTGTTCTGGTGACTTATAGTGTCCCTTTAAGCCCTATTATTTTCTATTACAAATGTCTATTACAACTATTGTGATGAACTCACTCATAAAAGACTATGATCCACTAAGCTCCTACCTCCCTGTCTAGTTTCCTACCCTTTGCTCCCCTTCTTGAGAGCCGGAGTATCCAGACACTATCAGCGGGACCAAACTGCAACTGCTCTGGAACTCTGACCCTGGCCACTTGTTGCAAGATTTAACTTCACTTTTACCATTCTCCCAGCAACCTAGAAGAGTGCTTCTTGTAGGGAAGCGTCTATCCCCAGAACTGAGCAATTGCTCCCTGAAACCACCAGGTAGCTCTTATTCGCCACAGAGATATTGCGCCTGGTAAATTAATGAGGATTGACCCCGACCCCATGGAACTCTTTACGGCCAAGGTTGTTGTAGTGGTCGGGTGAAACGTTGACTGTGTTGCATCTGGACAATTCTGTGGATTCCAAGAGCTAGGAGCTTGATGATATGCAGACCTCCCAGGAAAATTAACAAATGGAATGTCTTCCTAGCAGCAGTTATAGTAGCAAAATGGCAGCCAAATCCATACTAATATGTATGTTTCTGAAATTATTATCGCCATTTATATAGCGCCAAGAGATTCCGTACGCCTTACAATATTATGAGAGGGTGGATTTAACTACAAATAGGACAATTACAAGAAAACTTACAGGAACGATAGGTTGAAAAGGACCCCGCTCAGACAAGCTTATAGTCTATAGGAGGTGGGGTATAAAACACATTAGGACAGGAAATAGACAAATAGAGGAGAGAGTAGAGTGCTGCCCTTTAGGATATAGCAAGAGACAGGTATGTAAGGTAGAGGTTACTCTGGGAGGCCATAAGCTTTCCTAAAGAGGTGGGTTTTTAAGGCACTTTTTAATGATTGAAGACTAGGAGAGAGTCTGATGGTGGTAGGCAGGCTATTCCATAGGAAGGGAGCCACCCGCGAGAAGTCCTGCAAGCGTGAGTTAGCCATATGGGTGCGTGCAAAAGAAAGGAGAAGGTCACGGGCAGAGCAGAGAGACTGAGGTGTAAGAGGACCAACTAGAGAGGAAAATCAATCTGGCGGCAGCATTCATTACAGACTGTAGAGGGGCAAGACGGCTTTTGGGAAGACCAATTAGGAGAAGGTTACAATAATCCATACGGGAAATTACTAGAGCATTGACAAGCTCCTTGGTAGTTCCTTGTGTAAGAAAGGGGCGGATGCGGGCTATGTTTTTAAGAGGTAATCTATAGGATTTGGTAACATACTGGATGTGAGGCTCAAAGGTGAGGCCAGAGTCAAGTATGACGTCAAGACAGTACGCTTGCAAGGATGAACTTATGTGGATAACACTAACTTGAAGGTAGAGCGAAAGAGGAGGATCAGTATTAGGAAATGGGAAGCTCCAATGGCCATGTAGTATATATAACGAGCACTTGGACAGCAAATTTAAAACAAAATTGAATGCTACCGAGCTGCGCACCATAAAAAAAGGAGGAGGTGGCAGCGCTACAGACTGACCTGAATACCCTGGAACAGAGGATGGATGTAATGGAGGCTGATCGCTTGCACAGTGAGCAGAGACAACAAGCCGCGGACCTTGCGACCACGAGGCAGGGCAACATTCTCCTGGATCTACGCCGGCAGATTGAGGATTTGGATAACCGGGGCTGGCGAAATAATATCAGGGTCCGGGGTCTGCCAGAGGCGGAGGGAGAATCGCCGCAGGAGATGCTCACAGGCCTGTTCACCCACATACTAGGGGACAACGCACCGAGTGATTTCGGTATCAAACGAGCTCATAGGGCACTGCGAGCCCCTAGGAGAGATGGCCTACCCCGGCATGTGATCTGTGCCTTGGCCTCCTTCCCGCTCAAAGAAGCCATTATGCAAGAGGCCAGAGCGCAACAGAGGATTACGTTCATGGACGCCCAGGTCTCCCTGTACCAGGACCTTTCCACGGTTACGCTGGATGCCCAAAGAGCCCTGAGGCCACTTACCCGGATGCTCGATCTCATACACCCCAACCAGGTTGGCTTTATTCCCGGGAGGGAAGCCCGGGACAATACAATTCGAGCCCTCAATGTGATCCACGCAGCGACAGCGAATAGGCGAGAGCTGGTGCTTCTTTCCACGGATGCCGAAAAAGCATTCGACCGCGTGGACTGGACGTTTCTCATGGCATCACTACGGCACATGGGATTTGGACAGTATATGCGCACCTGGGTGACGGCCCTCTACACCACACCAACGGCACGGATAAGAGTCAATGGCGCACTGACGGAGCCGTTTAACATCCGCAATGGCACGAGACAGGGCCCCTGTCCCCCCTCCTGTTTACCCTCACTCTAGAACCATTCCTGGAGGCGGTCAGATGGGATGGGAGTGGGCTGAGGAGAACACCGAGTAGCGGCTTATGCGGATGATATGCTCTTTTTCTTAGACCAACCCCGGGTTTCAATCCCGAATTTACTAGAGGCGCTCAAGGAGTACTCCGCCGTATCCAACCTCGCACTCAACTTGGAAAAATCAGAAGTGATGCCGTTGACCTGAGATGCCACCATGCCGCAACATCTACAAACGCACTTTCCATTCAGAGTCTGCCCAACGAAACTCAGGTACCTGGGAATCTGGTTGCCAAAGGAGCACATGCACATATATCCACTGAACTTTACACCCCTCCTCACGACCCTACAAAGGAACCTGAAAAAATGGACATCTCAGTACATATCATGGTTTGGTCGGATTAATGCTATAAAGATGAACGTTATGCCACGAATTCTATATTTGTTCCAGATGCTGCCTACGACCATCCCGCGGTCGTTCTTCCAAACACTAGCAACCACTATACGGCAATCTGTCTGGAACCAGCGACAGGCACGAATTCGTAAGACGATCTTGGAGCGGCCGAAAAACGCAGGAGGAACGGGACTACCGTCGGTAATCTCCTACTATCAGGCGACGCACCTATGCCGATTGGTGGACTGGCACGCAAACCCGACCACCAAACAATGGGTAGAAATGGAGACGCAGCAGACGCAGGGATGGATCCCCTCCCTGCTGTGGCTGGGCGGCACAGTATTGGGAGATATGCGCACAGGAAACCCGATGATCGACTCCACACTGCGGGTCTGGTGTAAGATAAGATACTCCAAACAACTCACTACGTCACCGATCCCGCTTACCCCCATAACCAACAACCCAAGACTGGCGGGAGGACTAAAACCCGCAGCTCTGAAGAACTTCCCGGCGTCGGATTGGACATACCTGCGGCAATGGTGCACTGACTCAACACTCAAACCTTTGACGGACTTGATCCCAGACAGTAGACCGACGAGACTGGATGAATTCCACTATCATCAACTACGAACGTATTACACCTCCCTAACGGGAAAGGATCATATACACCGACCGATGCTACCCCTGGAACACTTATGTACGGACAGGTGGCACCTCATGCACGGCGTATCAACACTGTACGCCATACTGCAGCAGCGGGAAGGCGGGAGCCCCTTGGGCTTCACGGAACGCTGGGAGCAAGAGACAGGAACGACACTCACGGACTCCGAATGGGATAAGATTTTCCAGCTGACACACAGGGGGAGCATATGTTCCAAATACCAGGAATGTAATTATAAAATTCTGACCTGCTGGTACAGGACCCCAGACATCCTCCGCCATGTACACGAGTCTATACCCGGTGAATGCTGGAGATGTGGAACAGAGCCGGGCACGAGGCTGCACATCTGGTGGTCGTGTTCACTTATCGAACTATTCTGGCAGCAGGTCCATCAAACAATTAGAGAAATCGCTGATGCAGATCTACCGCTACAGCCCCTGACGATGTTGCTCAATCACACGCAAACACCGTTGCAGAAATACAAAAAGGGACTGACCATACACTTGCTCACAGCAGCGAAAACACTTATACTGACACACTGGAAAAGCCGCACGGTGCCTACCTTCCAACAATGGGTAGACAGGGTGGTAAATATCTATAGCATGGAAATGATGACGGCCTCCCTGCAGGGACGAGAGGAAAAGTGTGCTACAACCTGGTTTCCCTGGATGGACTACATGGCCAAGAGGATGGTGCGGGGCGGCGCACAGGGTGTGAAAATCACAGTGAGAAGCACGGAAGCGCCTCTAGCGGCTGTCAATGAGACAGCCGCTAGAGGAAATAGGGGAAGGCTTAACCCATTCATAAACATAGCAGTTTCTCTAAAACTGCTATGTTTATGAAAAAATGGGTTAACCCTAGCTGGACCTGGCACCCAGACCACTTCATTGAGCTGAAGTGGTCTGGGTGCCTATAGGGGTCCTTTTTTACTAGTCAATTGTCACTATTATTTTTTAGGTCCTTTCTTTCCCCATTCTTTTTCCATCATGCCAGTTAAGCTCCAAAAAGACACATTATATACAGGGGCGTTTTAGCCACGAGGCAAACAAGGCATTTGCCTTGGGCGACATTTTTCAGGGGGCGGCAAAAAACGCCGCCCCCCAAATGCCCAGGGCAAATGCCTTGTTAGCCTTGCGGCTAACAGACATGCCGAGCGGGCGGGCGGCGCTGGGCGGGGGGCTGGCGAGG